GAGAGAGAGAGAGAGAGAGAGAGAGAGAGAGAGAGAGAGAGAGAGAGAGATGAGCGATCCAAGATTGGTTGTCACTTACCTGTAAGGCGAGTTGCGGTGTCCGGTGGAGAAGGAAGACAGCGGCCATAGCCGCGGAGCATCAACACAGAGTACCGGAGGAGAGAGAAAGGGAGGACAGAGAAGGAGGGACTAAGGAGAGAGAAGAAGAAGTGTGGAAGGAGGAGATTGAAGAAGAAGACAGGCATAGCCGGGGGTGAACAAAAAGAAAAAAAAAAAGGAAGATAGAGAAGAAGAAAGAAAGTCCGGGAAGGGGAAGTAGACGGCGAGGGTGACGAAGGTTAAGGTGCCGGCAGCCATAGCCAAGGTGAGGGGTTGACCGGGCGTTGACCAGACCGTTGACCAAGGGTTGACCAGAGGGTTGACTAGGCGTTGACCAAGGTGGTTGACCAAGCGTTGACTCAGGGTTGTCCGTGTTGACTCAGCGTTGACCAAGGCGTTGACCGGAGCTGCTGACCAAGATTTTGACCAAGCTGGAGTTGGTGATATCTTGCTGAGCCCTTAGCCTATCCCCTTGCCCTGTGGATGTGCACCTACCCCACCGTACTTGCTGAGTCTGTCTGTGTACTCTTTCTGCATTGAGTCTCTTCTGTCCTAGGTGCTAGGACTATGTGGATGAAGGATAGGGCCTTGCTGCCAAACCTGCACGGGACTTAGTAGGACTAAGCTCTACTCTGGCATCTGGAGACCTGGGCATGAGCGGCGAGCGCTCGTTAAACAACTCGTCTAGCCCAATGACCGGTACTGTCCGGCAGGTCTACTGAGTTCAGTGTAGAGGGTCTGAACTCCGAGCTGCAGGCTGAAACGAAGGCCGTCTTTAAGTGTTGAGGCCTGGTTGAACCACTCCCCTACCGGACCTGGTAAGGCTGATGATCTGTGTCTGACGACTCGACTGTCCCGAGGGATACGAACCCCTCCAAGGACCGGTACAGACCGGCGGGCTGCTCGGTGTGGCACAGTAGGCTGGACGGGCTGAGTTGTGGGCTGAAATCGCCAGGAAGAACTACGCTGATCACGTCGTCCTGACTGCGACGTTAAAGAATTCTTGAGGAGTTTGGGGGATCTCCTTAAATGCCTCCTGATCAGCTGTTAGTTCAGTAGTGACAACCTTAGAGCAGTTGTGAGTAGTGGATCCTAGAGAGTCAGTCAATAGGTCAGTGTGTCCGGGTAGGTATAAGTGGTGAGGAGTAGGACTCTTGTCGTGCACCTAACACCACGATGGATGACTATCCGATGTATGGACTGCTTGTGGGGTTCTCCCTCTGGGGGACCCTCTGGCGTCTCCTCTTTCCTCTGGGGTTCAGGCACACGATGACGTGCAGAGTAGATACCCGGGGTGGTACCTCCACCACGCCATACACGAAGGAGGAGGAGGAGAAGATGGCCGCCATCTTGCAGGAGAGGAAGGAGAAGAAGGAGGCCAAGAGGAAGGCCTTGAAGGAGGAGCAGGCGGCCAAATTGAAGAAGATAGAAGAAGAGATAGCCAAGGAGAAAGAGAGGCTGAAAAAGGAAAAAGAAGAGAAGTTGAAGGAGGTGGATGAAGAAAAGGAAGGACCGCCACTGCAAAGGAAGAGTGGGCAAAACAGTGGCAGCAGCGGTGATGAGATGGAGAAGAAGATTTCGGAGTGGGTCGCCAACTTATCCCTGAGCGAGGAAGAAGAGGTGGCGATGTACATCCCAAAGGATGACCAAGAGGCGGCCATGAAGGCTTGGGATGCAGAGAAAGACCCTCTTAGGCGATAAGCACTGGAGGATCAACAGAGGATGGAAAGGAAACTTGCCATGATGAGGGAGAATAAGAGAAGGGTGGATGCGGCGACTGAAGCGGTCAAAGAGTTGGAGGAGGTGCAAAAACTAACCCTACGATTGACCCCTCAGGTAGACCTGCAACAAAAAGTGGAAATCATCGCCCAGAGCGTCCAGCGTTTAGCCAGGGTACAAGAACAGCAATATGAGTTTAGTCGCAGCTAGGATATAGCTGTGCGTTCGATGCGACTGGGATTTCGAGACTTTGCCCATGAATTAGTAGGCGCAGTAGGATCCGAGGTGAGCCATCGCCTCGAGAAGACGGAACGCTTCTGCGTCGGCGCCATTGAAGGCGTCAAGGCGGCAGCTCCCAAGGAGGAAGAGGCACGACTCCGCAGGGAGCCAGTCAAAGTCAAATTCCCCGATTCCTACAGTGGGAAAAGGGAAGAGAATTTCGACAACTGGGAAGCCAACGTGAAGACCTATGTGCATCTGCAACAGGTCTCCCCGGATCAGCAGGTTCTAATTGCGATTCACGCGCTTAGAGATGAGGCCGCCAATTTTGCAAGGTCCCTAGTTCGTGCCGCTAACTGCAATGACGATCCAGTTGCATATTCGTCATTCACTCCCCTCGCCGATTTTCTGAAGTTGCTGCGCGAGCAATTTGCGTACGTCGCTCGAAGTGTCAAAGCCTCAGATAGGCTTCAGACCATCCACTCGCACCAATGGAAGAGTGCCAGGGCACTCAAAGGCACAATGGATGAGCTAGTGGCTGTTCCTGACCACAAGGTCACCGAGACCCAGTTGGTCAACCTTTTTTACCGGGCTGTGCCCGAAGCGCTGCATGGCCACTTCTTTGCGAAGAGTCAGGACCCCGCTATGACTTATGATGCACTTAGCAGGGAAGTGGTCGCGTTCGAGGCAAAGTCTGCGTCGATTTCCACCTTTTGGCACAAAGATTTAGACAAGGGCAAAAAGTGGAAGGGCCGCACTATCTCAGGGCAGGTCAAGACTAAGGATAGTCTTGTGCTCACGTTAGAGAGGGTAGTGTGGACGAAATCCCCTACGATCAGATTGAGTGGGGGTTAGAGGAGGAGGACAGCGGTGTGGGCCAGGGGAGGACTTACGCTGCTATCGCGGCTGGAGGGAGGCCGCAAGGAGAATGAGGCCAAGGCCAAGGGGGCCGGGCCTCAGGGAGCCGGTTTCAGGGCGATCGGGGTGTTGGCGGTAGAGGAGGAAATTGCCAAGCGGGAGGAAGGGGTCAAGGTCCCCCGCAAAACCGTCCTAGGAATAGGTCTCCCTATAGGGTAGGAGGATGGCACCCGGGGCTACCACAGGGTAGACCTTGGGAAACTTTGGGTCTGGACCAGACTTTATGGCAACAACGATTGGACCGGGGCCAGTGCATTTTCTGCGGTGACCCGGGCCACATCATCAAATACTGTCCTAAGTATCACGAGACCCGAACGACTGCTCAAGGGCCAAAAGGCAGCTGCCGGTAGGGGTAGCAACTGCCCCTACCACTAGGCCATGTGGGGAAAACAGCGCTAGCCGACAGGAGACTCCCACACCACATGTGCCTACGACAGAGGTTGCAGGCCGGTGTCTAGACAGCTGTCCCGAAACTGCTTGTGTTAGAGTTTCGCTAGACACCTCCCTCACAGGCGTGGCCGAAGAGTTGAGGAAGAGGATGCCCGCCTGGACCAAGATGAGAAAGGAGAATAAAGGGCAGCTTATATTGGTAGATACAGAGATTTTTAGAAGTAGAGTAGGGGCCCTAGTAAACTCAGGGGCCACCTGCAGCTATATTAGTAAGAAAGTGTTGCAGAAGTTGAAGCTGGGACTTAAAGTCCAGAAACTGACACACCCCATAGTTAGTATCCTCGCGGACAATCGGACCATGGTTGTAGAGGATTACGTAGAGGGAGTCCAGGCGTACTTCCGCCTAGTGAAGGATGGGAAAGTGGAAAAGGTCCTCCACTTCCTGACTCTCCTCGTACAAGACAGCCTCCCATTCGACATTGTCCTTGGGATGGATTGGGGAGAGGCAGCCGGGGCCACGCTCCATTTGAAGGAGCACGAGTGTAGGCTCCCTAGTTCTTCAGGCGAGGCTAAGACTGCCCGCCTATTCCATGTGTCGGGAGTAGAGAATTCCTTGGCGCATTGCTGCCTCAGTGCCCCCGCGTTCGCTAGATTGGTGAAGAAGGAGAAACTGGAGGAACAAGTTTTTGTTGCCTATTTTAGGCCAGTGACTGAGCCTACGGAGGAGAAGCCGATGGACCCTGCGATTGCCAAGCTGCTTGAGGAGTTTAAAGATTTAACCGAGCCGCCGATAGGAGTAGTACCACGGCCCATCCAGCACCGTATCGAAATAGAGCCTGGCAGTAGAACTCCTAAGGGCGCTGTGTATAGGATGTCCCCACGGGAGTTAAAGGAGCTTCGTAAGCAGTTAGACGAGCTCCTCGAGAAGGGTTGGATTAGGCCCAGTTTGTCTCCGTTTAGAGCGCCTGTTCTCTTTGTCCCTAAGAAAGAGGGGGAGCGGAGGATGTGCATAGACTATAGGGGTCTGAATGCTATTACAGTAAAGAATGCTGAACCACTGCCTAGGATAGACGATCTCTTAGATCGAGTGCAGGGGCAAAGTATTTTTCCAAGACAGATTTGAAGTCCGGATATCATCAGATAGAGGTGCATCCTGATGATCAGTATAAGACAGCCTTCCAGACTAGATATGGACACTACGAGTTCATAGTGATTCCCTTTGGACTAACCAATGCGCCAGCTACGTTCCAGCGTTGTATGAACGATTTGTTTAGGCCGTGGTTAGACAGATTTGTTGTAGTTTATCTAGATGACATTYTAGTRTTTAGTARGACCCTCGAAGAGCAYCAGGGTCATCTCAGGCAGGTCTTGGAGAAGCTGAGGGAAGCTAACTTCAAGATCAATGCAAAGAAGTGCGATTGGGCGAAAACCCAAGTTTTGTACTTAGGCCACGTCTTAGACGGAGACGGCGTTAAGCCAGAGGATAGCAAGATCGCAGCGATTAGAGATTGGCTCACGCCACGTACGCTGACAGAGTTGCGCTCGTTCCTAGGCTTAGCTAATTACTATAGGAAGTTCGTAAGGAACTTCTCCACCATCGCTGCGCCCCTTCGCAGATTGTTGAGGAAGGAAACTATCTGGAAGTGGGATAAGGACTGCACATCTGCTATGAAAAAGTTAAAGCAGGCATTGATAGAGTATCCAGTCCTTAAAGTCGCCGACCCGTCCTTGCCCTTTGTCGTCACAACCGATGCAAGTCAATACGGCATAGGCGTTGTGTTACAACAAGACGATGGCAATGGTTATAGGCCCGTAGAGTTCATGTCTGCCAGAATGCCTTCAGAGAAGGTCGCGACATCTACCTATGAGAGGGAACTCTACACTCTAAGGCAAGCCTTAGACCACTGGAAGCACTACTTGATTGGGAGACACTTCAAAGTCTATTCAAACCATGAAACATTACAATGGTTAAAGACGCAAGCCAAGATGACACCTAAGCTTACTAGGTGGGCCGCAGAGATAGATCAGTACGACTTCGAGCTCAAGCCTGTTAAAGGGAAGTATAACGTAGTCACGGATGCTCTGAGTAGGCGAGCAGATTACTTTGGGGCAATAGTGCATTACCTAGACATAGGGAAGGATCTGCAGCAAAAGGTTAGAGAAGCCTACGCGCAGGACCCTATCAACAGTGACCTCCTTAAGAAAGTTAAAGAGGCCCCAGAGACTGAACCGAACTAAGGGTTGCTCTTCGAGAAGACTAATGTATTCGACCGCCTGTGCATTCCCCGTAGCGAAGAGATTCGTAGTCTGATTCTGGGAGAATGCCACGACACAGAGGGTCATTTTAGTTGGCAAAATACGTTAACAAATTTGATGCGCGCGTGTACCTGGTCAGGGATGAAGAATGACTGCGTAGAGTATGTTCGCAGTTGTAAGGTYTGCCAGCGTAACAAAAGTTCTACGCGCGCCCCGCTAGGTCTTCTCAGACCCTTGCCCATTCCGGATCAGCCGGGAGACTCAGTGTCAATCAATTTCATGGACACTCAAGTCAAGAGCAGGCATGGCAAGAGCCAAGTCATGGTCATAGTCAACCGTTTTAGTAAGTATGCAGTTTTTGTTCCTTTGCCATCAGAGGCACGTACTGACTTAGTTATACAGAGGTTTTTTGACTGTTGGGTGAGTGAAAATGGAATCCCACTGTTAATAGTTAGCGATAGAGATAGTCGCTTTACCAGCCAGAACTGGCAAGAACTCATGGGAGTATATGGATCTAAGTTGTTGATGTCGTCAGGCCGTCATCCAGAGACTAACGGTCAGACAGAGCAGATGAACAAGATCCTACAGCAAGTTTTGCGCATGTACATTATACCAGATCAGATCAACTGGGACGAGATGTTGCCTAAAGTAGCGAGTGCGTATAATAACAGCAAGCATTTATCCACCTGCCGCACTCCCAACGAACTGCACAAGTCCTTCAGACCGCGCAGGCCATTTGAGGGGCTCAACCGGGATCAGATTCACAGATTGCCGCGCGGGACAAGGGAGTTTGCTGTGCAACACGAGAAGGAACTAGCTACTGTAGTAGAGAACCTCAGGAAAGCCCAGCATAGGATGATAGAGCAAGTGAACAAACACCGTCGCCCTTCACAATTTCAGGTAGGCGACTTAGTCTGGGTTAGTTATAGAGAGTTTGCACCTGAGGAGAACATCTCGCAAAAGTTACTGCCCACATATAGAGGACCGTGGCCCATTCTAGAAGTCAAGGGCGACGAAGATAGACCGTCCTATACTATAGAACTCCCAACACAACTCCACACTTACCCAGTCTTCCATGCATCGAAGTTGTTACCTTGTCAGACAAGCGATCAGTTTCCATCCCGTAGATCTATGATTCCGCCCGATATGGATGGAAGGTATGACATCGATGGCATCGTTGCTGAAGATGTATTTAGAACTGGAGGTAGGGGTCGTCCACAGAAACAGTACAAAGTTCACTTTAGCTATCAAGAACCGGAAAACGACCGCTGGTTTACAAGATCTGAACTTCTAAAGACAGCTCCCGATATAGTCCGAGCCTACGAAAGACGACAGAGGGGTAAAGGTCCTTCCTTGGACTGAAATTTTCTCGGAGGGCCTCGAATTTAGGACGGCGGGAGTGAAACGGTATTCACCGGTTCGCAATAGCCAATGCAGATCCCAGGGCTCGATCCCTAGTTCCCCATCTTACCTATGTACAGTATTGATATCAACCCGTAGATTTGAACCTGTGACCTGTCGAAATGCCAGTGGTAGGTAGATTGTCGTACGTCACAGCTCAGAAGGGAATCGGACTGTAGACTTGTAGGGTAGGAGTCTATACAGTTCCGAAGTCGTAGTTGTAGGATGTCTGAAGGGTCAAGGTCATAGTTGCTACTTACCTGAAGGGGCAAAGTCGTAGCCGCTACTGCACCGAAAGGCCAAGTCATAGGTTTCTAGAAGTGGAATTTCGGAGTGGGCCTACGTTGAACAGAGGCAAGTGGTCAAGTGGTGGTAGGCCACCCTGCTGAGTCAACAGCCCCAGTTAGGCAGTCCGGTCCTGTCCAGCAAGTACCGTTTGGGACTGTGTGCACCAAGGACCAAGGGACACAGGGCGGAACAACGCAGCGCAGCAGTATAAATCAAGAGGCTGCGTCCAGCCATTCATTCATTCTTGCGGATGCCATCCGGAAGCGCTGCCTCAGCAGCTTATGCGAGGAGGTCTGCAGTGTGCCCGAAGACGAAGTGGGCAGAGGAGCGCAGTGTAGCGATAGGGCAGCTAGCGCTGCCATACCTGTAGCATAGGGTATGTGTGTGTTGTGTATGGATACTGAGTGTTGCGTGTGGGACATCCAAGGTGATCCAGAGTGCGAACAGTGAGTTGTGTGGGCGCACAGTCGCCATAGCCAGTTGGAAGAAAACTCTTATTTGGTCACGATATCTCTGAGTACTGTGTGGGCGCATGTCGCCAGTTTGCTGTATCGCTGTTTGCACGCATGATGAAGTGTGAATAAGTCAAGTCTGATTGCACGATTGGCATTGGGCAGTATAGGTTGTTTGATGGGTACCGGCTAAGGAGGAGTAACCCTAGTGCGAGAGTTGGGGGATCTTCTCATCAGATGCGATTGGTGTTGGGCAGTTTAGGCTGTTTGATGCGTACCGACTGAGGAGGAGTAGCCCTCGTGCGATTAGTGTTGGGCAACTATGATTCGCCTCTTCAAGGACGGAGATTGAGTTTTCCGAGAGGGTAGGAAATTGCAGGTTGATGATGCCGTTTGTCTCTTGCTGAAGAAAGATGCATAAAATTCCTTTCTCATTCTCTGTCGAAGTGAGGTAAAGAGGATTGATGGGGGGGTTCTGAGTTGTTTTCTAAATTTTGCTTATGTTCTTGTTCTTTAGGCCAAAAAAAACAAAACAAAAAAAATTCTCAAAAAAAGGGATAGCCACGTGGAGCATCTTGTGCAGTTTTGGGGGACCTGCTTTGAAGTAAGGGGCAAGGGCATGAAATGATTCTTCACAAGGACGGAGAGGGGGATGGAATAGGGCTGCTCGATGAGTACCGGCCGGGGGGTGTCTCTTATCAAATGCGATTGGCGTCGGGTACTAGTTTAGGTTGTCTGATGGGTACTGCCTGATGAGGGCAAACTCTGGCGCGATTGGCGCAGGGTAGTGCTGGTTCACCTCCTCGAGGATGGAGACTAGAATTCTTGTGGGGGCAAAGAATTTTAGGGTGATGATGGTGCTCGGCCCCTGCTGAACTGAGGTCCTTTGGAGTTCTTGACGAGGACGGAGTTGGGGAGGACGAATGCGATTTGGATGGAGGAAGGTGGTGGTCGATGCGATTGGCGTCGAGTATCTCGGCAGGTACCAGCCACTGGCCGCTAACTCCACCTCGATCAGCCTGAGGTTCTTCCCTTCGATGATGGAGGCAGGTTTGTTCTGCTTGTCTTGTCTTCTTTTCTATTTCAGGGGTTACGCCTTTCTCTAAATTTGACTTATCTTCCTTTTGGGGGAATATTGCTGAAGTATGTTTTCAATAGTATTTATTTCATTACCATCAAAGGACGTTACCTGCTCAGTTAATCCCCTGCATTCCAGGGTAATCAATGGTGGCAGGGGGAGGTCCTCTTAACTTTTCCAAAAAAGGATCCTTGTTGATGCGTAAATGTTCTTATCGGACCCTGGGCCCGGTTTCCAGCACGCTGCTCTCCACGAATAGATTGGAGCATTTGTATCAATATATATATATATACATCGTCAAATACATACGTATTTTCCACGTAGGATTTCTCATTCTCATCTTGCTTTAAAATTCCAAATTACTTCGTCAACTCGCGGAAACTTTTTTTCTATGTCTCTAAACTTCGAGCATCCTCTTTGAGCGTTATACTGTTTACGATGTGCAGGGGCGGATCCGATCATTCAAATGTTTTTTTCCATTGGTAATTCATTGTGCTTATTTTCAGAGTTTTTTTAGCATGGTTTGAGGAAGGGGAGCACTATCCTGCATTGGTCCTGCAAGGGCTTCACAAGGTGGGAGGAAAATGTCACGGAGGGCGTTACGGGCGTATGCGCAGATCTTGGGTCCCGGTTTGCTTTACTCAGGGGCTGGAGTTGATACGAGGGTTGGTATCATATCTCACTGGAGGCAAATAGGGGCAAGGGGTTAGCAGGGGCATACTTTAGGTGGGAACTGGATGCCCTGGAGGATCAGGGGGCAAGGAGCGGGTCTGTCCCATGCTGGAGACGAGGAGGAGTGGTTGTAACTGGGGCGGCCCCTTTTGGTGGGGGCAGCATATGACACTTAGGGAGCCCTGCACTGCTTTCCTGTTGGAGTGACTAAAACGCGGAAAAGGGTCTGGAAAGCGACAACAGGGTATGCCAAGGATTCTTGGGAAATGGAGTGTGGAGACAGACAAAACTGAAAACTCCTGTGTGGCCCTAGATATGGAGTGACGAGGAAGGCGGGAAAGGCAGAAGAGAATACCTTCCAGCAAGTATCTTGAACTTATTGCGATCAATGCGATGACTTTTTTCGGGCCGAAAGGGAGCGGGAATGCACATGGGATCTCAACTTTGCATGAGGGTTCAACGACATTCCTCGCAGAGCTTGGAATCTGAGTCGGAGGGTTGTAGTCTCACCACTTTATCCTTGAAGACTTTTTTGTCATGCGTCCGATAGTTGAACCCCTGGGCCGAGAACCGTTCTGTATGGGGGCAATCACTGCGCAAAGTGTGAGGCCAATGGGGACCAATTGTTGGCCACGAGATGACAACCAGCTCGTTAATGGGAAACAAAATGGAATATGGAGGGAAATGGGTATCACTAATCACAAAACCTGAGTTCAAGAATTCAGAGCACTGTGTTTCTGAGGGAAAGTGATAAGGGTCACTGATCTTGGCTAAGGCTTCGAGTACATCCTACTCGTAGACATCTGTCCTATCCTCGTTATACGAGAAAGGTTGTTGGGGAAGATGTTCGAGAAGTCGGCGCCCCGATGGCTCGGCTGGTCCAGTCTACATGGTCGACACACATGCATCCACCATTTACAAAACAATGGGATCTTGGGGAGTCACCTTCGTAGAGGAAGTCGGGCAATACGATGTGCCACATACTTTTATGCCCGATGTTCCTTTACGGAGGGGGATTACCAGGAAACTAATGGAGGAGTTCAGGAAGAAGTTTTTGAGGGGAAAATCATCTGTGCTTCGAAAAGAGAAAAATAAACAAATTCTGAGGAGGAGCAGAAGAGATCAAAAATCCAAACTAATCATCTCATTACAATCAGAAAAATCAATAATAAAGAAAAGTATTTTATGGGCTTTGTCTTTTTAAAGCGACAAGAAGAGCACAAATCTTTACACGTTGAGCAACTTTAAGGGAGTGCCGTTTCAGAAAACCTTCGATCATGCATAAGATTTACTCACGGTCACAGGTTCATCGTGCTTCTAATCACACAAGGAGACATTTATTAAGAAAGAAAGATGAAGGACAACGGCGGGGACGTTAGCTAGAGTGTTTCACGTATG